TAATTAGCATCTAGGACATGCTTCCAGCGCACCATTGAGACAATCCAATAATCAAAGTGAAAAGGCTCCATCTTTATCACCCCTGCAATATCTTCCTCAAATTCAAAATCAAACTGAAACCTTCCCAAGCCTATATCAGTACCCGTTAAACTCCCCTCAAGTTGCCAAATCCTTGGGAGAATGAAGAGAAGGACCTTCATGTCCTGCTTTGAAGGATTCATGCACATTCCAATCACCATTTTTGAGTATCTCTCAGTGAGCTCAGTGTTATCAAAACGGGGGACTAAAATCTTCAATCTTGGTTTTGCAAACTCCATCTTCTTCCCTCCAGATTTCGTCACCCAATGGGATTGCGACATGATCACCAGAAACCAATGAATTGCAGAGAAAAAATTAGTAAAAAAAATATGTTGATACAAAGGAAATGAGAATTGTGTGATGACTTTGTTAATTCCACCATGTATCCTATATATAACAACGTAATATCCATCCTATTGAATCTCATCATATAAATGCTAAGACACACAATATCAGTACAAAATCCCAGATTATAAGTAAGGATAGTAAGCAGAGATCTTGAAAAGGACAAAGTTATCATCCGAATCCAAAACAGAGTATGACTATCCATACCAAAACCAGTTGTTGTCTTTTCCACCAAAAGATTGTAAAAGATACCCAAATAAAATCGTAAAACCAAATCAGTTTCCCAAATCCCTATATTCATCAAGGAACATCCAAGAATAGCCTTAATTGATACTCGTCTAAAATCCCGTAAATCACAACACACCATTCTCAATTGACACCGAATCTTACCAGAATACAACCCTTTTTCAGAGATCGTGAATCTTCCCTTCGTGATTCCTTGAAATCGAAATAGATCTGTAGAACTGATTTGATTCCAATGACATAGAGTCGTCCTTCCACCGAAATCTTTCCCTATCTCTGAAATAATCAAAAACCCTTGCAGAATCCTCTCCGTATCGATCACACCCGCTGTGTAGTCATGAAACCAAACTGGATCCGATAAAATCTTCATAATTGGGAGATCACAAAATCGCAAAAAAAAAAACTCATAAAAAATCGCCATCGATGACAGTCATTGAATTGTCCTCTTCCTCCAAACCTACCTTTTTAATTGTTATTAATTAATATCAAATCTACTATAATTAAAAGTTCTTATTAAAAGCCTATGAGCTATGCCACATCAGCCAATAGGGGCTGCATTTTCTGCCACGTCACTGCCATGTGAGATTGTTCAGGTCAATAATATGCTGATTCGTATAGGAAAACAACAAAGATTAGGCAGCAGAATTGGTAAAACACAGCTCTTGAACCCTCAAAAGTCTAGGTTCGACCCCCACCAATGACATTTTAATTTTTCTGACCCCACTAATATCCAATCCTGGGACTGCCCATGCATCTGTTGTACCAGAAGGAGGGCGTTCAGCATCAAATAATCAGATTGTTGACCCAAAGAATGGAAAGAAGGGGACACGATTAAGATTAGATCCACCTAGAAAACATAAATCACCATTACATTTCCTTATGTTTTATGTCGTCCTTTTCGTTTGGTTATGCACTATAATTTAGAACTTGATCTATTTTTAATTAAACACAACGTGGTGGGTGGTGTTTAACCTATCAATATACATGTCTTCCTTTAAGCTCAAATTAAGTAAACGCGATATAGGCATTGAAGAACTCACTTCCTCTGCATGTTAAAATGTGTAAAAAAAAATATAATTCGAGATATTCAAACTATTAATCAAAAACTATTTATACAACTTCTGAGCTAATAGTGAGTAATGAAACATTATATATACATACACTCACAAAAGACCTGGAGAATAGAAATTCACAAAAAAAAACCTTTAAGAGGAAGACATGACATGGTTAGAGAAACCATGAGGACGTTGGTTTGGGACTCCCAGAGGTCCACAAAACGACTCCAAAAAAAAGAAAAATGTTAAGTTAGAGTAAGTTTCTTATTAGACACTACACTAATTTGTTGATATTTTGTTAGGAAGCTTTTAACTAAATATACTCTCTTTTTTTCTCCGCGAACTCCTAACTAAATTATCAAAAATGTGTCAAAACAGACTATGGTGTTAGGCTGTTGTCTTCTATCTAATGACTTTATGTAGATCAGGACCAATAATTTTGGTTCCAATGTGTTAATAGAAGATAGTACACAAAAAAAAAAAAAAACAGAATTCTTTGAATTACATAAAAAATAACTCCAGGCGAACAAAATTTGCCTTTAAGCATTACTAGAATCTGAAACTGAAAATTTAACAATGTTTCTGGATTAATTTTCTGACACTTCTTACAGAGAGGCGTATTATACTAACATGGTATATTATTCTCTTTAGTTGAAATCTATTTAAGTTTGCCAAGAGGATTTCACAAAGTTAGGACCAATGTGCACTTAAATATATAATTATATGATCTTTACTTGGCTGACATATTCATAGATAAAACTAGGGGTGGCATGGATCGAATACTACCATAATTTTAAGTATTTGCGGTTTGCTTTGTATTTTACGGATATTTAATTTTTCGATTTGCTTTGTTTCAAGAAACTACGGATAATATTTGTGAAAAATTTACGGGTATTACGGATATTTCATCCACTTTGTTCAATACAAATATTTTTTTTTTTTAAAACCTATACAAGTTTGTTTCCAAAAATATATTTTACATAACAAAGATTAGTGAAATTATATGTCTCATAAATTTTTAAAATTAGTTAATTTTCAAATAAAAAATAAAATTTTAAGAAATTTATAGTTTTATAAAGATTTTATCTTCCTTTCTTAAGTTAATACTTTTATATGTAATTTTATAAATATAATTAATTAAATTATATATTAAAATAATAATTATATAAATTATGCATATATACACTTATTTTTATAAAAATTGGAAGGGATCAGATATCCGATTCTAATTTATTAGTATTTGTGATTTACTTTGTTTTTAATGGATATTTAATTTTAATATCTACTTTGCTTTAAAAATTTACGGATATCCATAATTTTCAAATCAAAATAGTCGATTCAAACTTTATGGAAAAAATGTCCAACCCTAGAGAAACTGTTAAGGAGATTTCAAACACTCAAAAACTGATAAACATAATTGTTTCATTAATTTTTTGTAAGGAAACAAATCATAATTGATTAGACTAGGAAATAAACTAAAACTACATAACCAAAGGCACCGCATTGTTAATATACAGTCGTCAAGGCAACCAAAACAAATACGTCATAATTTTTCAAATAAACCAAACAGTCTTAAGAAAATGCATTTGTCAATAACACAAATAGTAAATAGTTAGTGATATTACAAGCGTTAGAGCACCTCCAATGGAGATTCTTCCCATTAAATTTTTTAAAATATGTATTATGTATATATATATATATATATATATATATATATATATATATATATATATATATATATGTATATATTATATATGTATAAATATTTGTGGAATCCTATAGAAGAATTCCCTTTGGGGTGGTTTTAGGATCACAAACGAAAGCTCCAAAATAATTGAATCAATTAGTAGTTATGTATCTCTTTGTTTTCTAGCTTTTAAGGATATACAAAACTAACTTATGCAATTCACTATGATTCATTTAAATGTTAGATTTTCTTTGACTATGTCGAAGTGAAATAAAATAATAAGAATATATATATATATATATATATATATATATATATTACATTTTCTGAATTATTTTTGCTAATTTTATATTCTCGGAAAGTAGAGAATAATGAAGGTTACTGTCCTTTTAATTCAAACTAAAAATGTTTAGTACAATCTCAGACTATTTATTATTTGTTTGTTCAATTTATAATGATTTAATGCTTCATAAAACTAAATAATAAATATATAATAGTTTTTACTATAACTTTCCGCCCGTAGAGTGGACCCAAACCCCTAAATGAGTGCATTCTTATCAAGGATTGAATGGTTCTGTCCAGCTTAAGTTTCTATTTTTTTCTCAGTTTAGTTTCCTTTCAGTTTGCATCTTTCAGAGTTCTTTCCCTTTCCAAACATTTTATCTATATAATTTCACCATTTATGAATGGTAATTGCTTATTGTTATGATTTTCAAACCACCCTTGCGCCTCTGATATGTGTTAATTACTTCTCTTTAAATATTTAGGAACTGATATCATATAATTCTTACTGCACCTATGAATTGTTAAAATTTGTTAGGTTTTTAACTATTACATATATTACATTGTTCATTACTGATATCATATAATTCCGTTAGACCCAGCCAAAATTCACTCCTTAAAACTATTTTCCTCAAAAAGAATAATATTGTTATTGGAATGATTATTTTTTCAACTTTATAAAGGAGGAGTTTAAATGGATATATATACTACTAATGCATCACGCCTTCTCTGACAATTGGTTACAAAAAAAGTTAAACTCTAACTATTTCATAGAACATTATACAACTTATGCCTACAAGCTTATATATATTTTTTTGATATTGAATTTTAATAGTTTGGAAATTGTATTCCCCAAAACCATCACATAAAATAAAAAATAAAATCCAAATAATTGAAATAAAATAGTTACCCTAAATATAGAAGCTATATACAAAAATAAAAATTATAAAATAAGATAAGAAATTGAAGTTTATGGAAAATAACACGGGCGTAGCCTGGAAAAATCTCTAGTAATATTATAAGTGGGATACGCTGAGCATAAGTCCACGTCTGCTTAAAAAATTGACCAATAGGAGCGTCTCTTTTTTCCACGTAATCAGTTGAATTTCATATCAAAGTTTATGATTCTCGGTTGGGCTTCGTGTTGATCCCGGGCTTCGGTGTGTTTATTGAGGCCCAAGGTGATAAAAAGTGACATTTTGCTACACAAAATGTGACGCTTCCCTTCCTTACCTTCATCGCTCCTCTCAAATATGTTGAATCAAATCTCTCAAAGCTGTCGATGAAGAAGATCATGTTGAAGAGCTCCGATGACGAGGGTGGTTCTCGAGTATCAGACCATAGCGCACATGGTTGAAGACGATTGCGTCGACAATGGAATCCCTCTTCCCAACGTCACGAGCAAGATCCTCCCGAAGGTGATTGAGAACTGCAAGAAGCACGTGGATGCTACTGCTTCCAACGATCAGACCAAGATTGTGGAGCTTACGGAGAAAACAAAGATTATCCCGACAGAGTAGTTAAGATTTCGAGATTATGGCTTTGGTAAATACAGACATGGAGTTTCCAGGAGTGTGTCCAATGGAGTTGCCGGGAATGTGTTAGGCACTAAATCTTGTTGGAAATTTTGGCAGGCTTTGGACACATTCAATGCAGCAATTTTTTCTCCTGTCTACTATGTAATGTTCACTACTCTCACAATTTTTGCTAGTGCCATCATGTTCAAGGCAGGTTTCAACTACACATTGTCTTTGTTGTAACGGATGTGAGAAGGAACAGATGCGGAAACAGATGAATAAACGCGATGTAACTACGACACAGATATTTAACGTGGTTCACCCCTAACGGCTACGTCCACGGGCAAAGAGAGATCTTATTATTGGAGGCGATATTGAGCTTACAGAGTGCAAGTTTAGGGTTACATCGAATACAAGATATATATAGTAGCANGACACAGATATTTAACGTGGTTCACCCCTAACGGCTACGTCCACGGGCAAAGAGAGATCTTATTATTGGAGGCGATATTGAGCTTACAGAGTGCAAGTTTAGGGTTACATCGAATACAAGATATATATAGTAGCATCTTGCATCTAAAACCCTAGACTAAACGGATTCATGGGCCTAAGCCCACAATCAGATGTAACATCCATAATAACTTGATGCAACGCTCTTGATGCAACCGAGTCAGTATGATGTATGTGATGTAGCATCCAATGCCTAGATGCAACATCCAGATTCAAGGCATATCAACAAATCTCCACCTTGACTTGAATCCTCCCAATAATAGATGTACCAGATGTACCAGATGCGCTTCTCTGCGCCAGATGTACCAGATGCATTCTTCAACGCCAGATGTACCATCGCTCTCTTTGCCTCAGATGTCCATTCAGACCAGATGTGTTGCTATGACGAACCAAACGCCCTTTAACGGCCAGATCCTCAACTAGAGCTAGACGTTCGTCATCAGCCAGATGTCCCAACGGATCGGATGTCCTTGCGAAACCAGACGCCCCAATAGGCCAGATGTCCCAACGGACCAGATGCCTAACGTGCCAGATGTCTCAACGGACTAGATACCCCAACGAGCCAGATGCCTTTGCGGACCAGATGCTCCAACGAGCCAGATGTCCTTGCGGACCAGATGCCCCAACGGGCCGGATGTTCTTTCGAAACCAGATGCTCCAACGAGCCGGATGCCCCAATGGGCTGGGTGCCCCAACGGGCCAGATGTCCTTTCGGACCAGATGCCCCAACGGGCTGGATGCCCCAACGGGCTGGATGCCCCAACGGGCTAAATGTCCCAACGGACAAGATGCCCTAACGGACCAGAAACCATATACATGGTAAGATGAACATTCGCAGTGCATCGAATACTGATAGGTTCATCTGAAGGCATCACGAACCTTGTCAACACCTTATTAATGTAGGCCTTCTGTGACAAGAACAACTCCTTCTCCCTATCTCTGAAGATCTCCATCTCTAGAATCTTCTTTGCAGCAGCCAAATCCTCCATCTCAAATTCAGAACCCAGAAGCTTCTTCAGCTTCTCGATGTCACATATCTTCTCTACGCTATCAACCTGCCATCCATGTAGAGTACCAAATAGATGAACATCGCATCCTTCAACTTACTCACGTAGACACACCAATCATAAGGACCTCTGATGTAGTCAAACTTGATTATATAGCTGTCGAATGTCGTGTACCATTCTCTAGGAGATATCTCAAGTCCATGAACTGACTTCCAAAGCTTACATACATAGTCTTCTTTTCCAGGAACTCGGAAACCATCCGACAAAGTCATGTATCTCTCCTCTTCTAGCTCTTTATGAAAACACATCGTCTTCACATCAAATTGTTCAAGCTCCAAGTCCTGACGTGCTACCACTGTTAGCAACACTCAGATGAAAGTATCTCTGACCACAGATGATAATAACTCATTGTAGTCTACTCCTTCTCTCTGAATGAACTCTCTTGCAACAACCCGAGCTTTATACTTAACTAGTTCCGCCGATGATGCTCCATCCTTAACCTTGAAGACCCACTTGCATGTAACACCCCTTCTCCTCGACGGTAATGTGACCAGATCCCATGTATGATTCTTCTGATGAGACTCCACATCTCTCGTTGCAACCTGCCATTTCTCAGACTCGGGACTAGAAATAGCTTCCATGTAAGTGGATGGCACATCCACTTCGTCTGCAACCTGAAGTGCATAACCCACCATATCGTCGAAGCGATATCTCTCTGGTGGCATGACATCAACCATTCTTGGTCGATCCTTCTCGATGCTACGCTCTGTAACATCCGGCGGCTGAGTCTCTGTAGACTCCAACTGAACATCTTCTACACACTCCTCTTGATATTATGTGTGTTCCTGCACAACGATCACTTCATAATCATCTTGCAGCTCCACCTGTTTATCAGTGCTACCCTTTTCTGCTTCACAACTGGACTCAGAACTTCTAACCATAGATGTTTCATCGAAGACATCATTCCTGTTTAGAACCACTCGGTTTTCTGATGAAGAACAAAATCTGAATTCTTTCACTCCATCACCGTAGCCCATAAGCACTCCTAAAAGTGAATATTCAGCAGATCTACCTGACCACACCTCAGAAGGTATTCTGCACTCGATGTCTGTGTGGGGACCGAGATTTATCAAGTAGCAAGCCGTGCTAACTGCTTCAGCCCAAAGCCGCTTCTCTAAACCAGCACTCTAGAGCATGCACATCGCTCTCTCTAGCATTACCTGGTTCATATGTTTTACAACACCATCCTGCTGTGGTGTTCTCCTGTCTGTAAGATGCTTGGCAATTGTTGCATCCTTACACGACTGTTTGAACTCTTCTGAGCAGAGTTCCAAACCATTATCAGAACGAAGCAGATCTTGTTTCGACAGATGTCGCATCCCACGTTCACCCATATGTCTAAGCCTCATATGCCATAGCTTAGTCATATCTTCCTCTGGGATCTCTGGCGATGCAACATTTGCTGAACCGGTAACTGTTGTACCCTTCAACAAATACAGAGTACCGTTCATGAAACCCTCCAAAATCACATCAAAACCCCTGTAGACATTCAGAACTCCATCGCTACCCGAATATTTGAATCCTCTACTGTCCAGAAGACTCACAGATATCAAATTATTCGTCATTGATGGAACATGCCTAACCTTCTTCAATGTGCAGAATCTACCACCATGTGTCCTGACCTTGATTGAGCCGATCCCAGCAATCTTGCAGGCAACATCGTTTGCCATCTTAATCTTGCTGTCAAGTACCTCTGTGTACTCTGAAAACCACTCTCTCCTCGGTGTCATATGGTAGGATGCTCTTGTGTCAAGAATCAACACATCAGAAGAGTGTGTGTGTCCATGCACAAAAAGAGCAATGTCGTCATCAGACTTGGTATCATCCTCGGCTACTGCAACAGACCCAAACTGCTGCTGCTTCATCTTGGGACAGTCTGACTTCCAATGTCCCTTCTCTTTGCAATAGTTGCAAATATCAGATGGCTTAGGACCTCTTGGAAACGACTTCCTATCTTTTGAAGTCCTTCTGTTCCCATGTCCCTTCTCACCACTGACAAGCAATCCCGAAGCTTGATTGTCTATCCCTGAGCTGGATGCCTTATGGCGCAATTCCCGACTATGAAGCGCCGACCTAACTTCTTCCAGTTTCACTGTATCTTTGCCAACAATGAACGATTGCACGAAGTTCTCGAAAGAGTTCGGTAGAGATACCAACATGATTAGTGCCGCGTCTTCATCCTCTACCTTAACATCGATGTTACGCAGCTCCAGTAATATCGAATTTAACTTGTCAAGATGGTCACGAAGCTCAATACCTTCTTGTATACGCAAGGCGAAGAGGCGTTGCTTCAGAAGTAGCTTGTTCGTTAGAGATTTCGTCATATACAAAGTCTCCAACTTCTGCCACAAACTAGCAGCAGTTTTCTCATCCGACACTTCGATGATGACCTCATCTGCTAGACACAACAAAATTGTTGAGAACGCCTTCTCTTCCAGAGCCTCCAAAATAGTAGCATCAGATTTCTTCCCTGACAACGGTCCCCATATGCCTTGTTGCTTCAGCAACGCCTGCATCTTGATCTGCCAAAGACTGAAACTACTTCTCCCGTCAAACTTGTCGATCTTCGTGTTTATTCTAGACATCTTCTCACCAGATCACCAACCCCGAGCTCTGATACCAGTTTGTTGTAACGGATGTGAGAAGGAACAGATGCGGAAACAGATGAATAAACGCGATGTAACTACGACACAGATATTTAACGTGGTTCACCCCTAACGGCTACGTCCACGGGCAAAGAGAGATCTTATTATTGGAGGCGATATTGAGCTTACAGAGTGCAAGTTTAGGGTTACATCGAATACAAGATATATATAGTAGCANGACACAGATATTTAACGTGGTTCACCCCTAACGGCTACGTCCACGGGCAAAGAGAGATCTTATTATTGGAGGCGATATTGAGCTTACAGAGTGCAAGTTTAGGGTTACATCGAATACAAGATATATATAGTAGCATCTTGCATCTAAAACCCTAGACTAAACGGATTCATGGGCCTAAGCCCACAATCAGATGTAACATTCATAATAACTTGATGCAACGCTCTTGATGCAACCGAGTCAGTATGATGTATGTGATGTGGCATCCAATGCCTAGATGCAACATCCAGATTCAAGGCATATCAACAGTCTCCCTCAGCAAAATTTTGTTTCAGAAATTTTGTTTATAAACATTGTGTCTAATGCTTCTGACAGGATTGGTCTGGGCAAAAAGCAGCCAGCGTAGCCTCTGAGATATGTAGATTCATTACTGTGCTCACAGGCACAATGATACTTCATGGGACCAAGGAAGACGAACAACAAGCTTCTTCAGGTCAGAAAAACAAACAAAAATTGAACACTTGATTTTCTTAATAATATTATCGATTGACATAACTGTTCCTTCTGGTGGTATTGAAGGCAATGCTGATTTGATATTTGGGTCTT